CATTGAGTCTCCACCAGCCAGGTAACCTTTTTAATTTTAAATACTCCTAGGAAATAGAATTGATAGGGATGGGGTCACCTTTGAGAAATTTATGGAAATCTAGGAGATGATGCCCTTCAAAAAGTGTATTTTACTCCATATAATTCAAATATACAATGAATTAAGGATCAATTTTGGAAAGTTGTTAACGAAACTTTTAAATTCATTCATCTTTGAAACTGTTATATTCCACACAGGTAATTTATTACTTTCACCATAGGCCTCTCTATTTTCTTTCTTGTTTCAGATGAATAGTAAACATTCAGCAAACACATGAAATCAATCTTGCCATTATTCAGGTAAGGAATGTTAAAACAACATTCCATGTATTTTACATTAAGACAAAGAAACTTATATAGTCAACAAAATATAGTTCGAGTACTTTCACTAACACTTACACTACACTTTGGAACCTACAAATTTCTAACACACATACCATCATGTCATCTTCGCACAAAAAACTGTTGCAGAATAAGTTTAAGTAACTTGTGTAACATAATACGAGATGAAGTTTTATCCTTTTCTTAATTCTTTCTAAAGCTCCAGGATATGCCCTGGAGGAGTTATTTCAACAACATTTTGATTGATCACCATACATATATATATATACATGTATATATACATATTTATGTCATATATATACATATATATATATATGTATATATATGACATAAAGCTGAGTGCTTTACCAATCACAGATTTATAAAAGACATGGTCCGTTGCCCTTAGAAGTTTACAATCTTTCAGAAGAGATGAATAAAATAAATGCAGGGTGATTGGTACTCATCAACTACTAAGGGAGAGGGCATTTTGGTGTGATTATTCAAATCACAGAATGGGTAGCATTTTGGTAAAAGAAAATGAGTGGGGATCACAAGACACTGATGATGAAGACAGCGAAGCCAGTGTGGCCATGTAAGAAATGTGCAATTAACATCTTTAAGAATGAGGCAAAGGGCATATGATGCTGGGAAGTAGGATCCAGATAAAAATTGGACTTGGCCTTAATCTTGTAGGCAAAGGTCTTTGCTTAGAGTTATACTTTCTTCAGAAAGATTTACTGTCCTTGTAAATAATACAAACTAAAAGGCCAAAAAGAGCAGTTAGAAAGCTACTGCAGTAACTAACAATCATTTAGTACTAATGCTTGAGTTTGGAAGATGACAGCGGAAAGAGAAAAAAATAAACCCAAACTCATAATTCTTCCTGTTGTAATGAAAATGATTACTGAAGTAGTCCTATATATCATGTGCTGATATATAAAGGCATAAAATAAAACCAATCACTTGTAAACACACTTGCAGATTTAACTTTGGTTAAATCATTGCATAAAGTTACCTATTCTACAAAGGGAAAAACATTTATAACATCTGCTTTCAATATATTCTATGGTAGCATATACCATTTCTTAATATAAGTCTTTGATTACATTTTTAAAACATTTTAAAAACATTTTAAAAACCTTTATTGTAGGTGGCCTAAAAAAAAAACTTTTGAAAACTACAATTACAAAATATCTATATACAGTAAAAGATAATCTATACTACATAGAAATCACGTCTTAAAAACCATCAAGGTCTGTTCGGTTCATACTAATTTTAAGATACCAAACTACTATGTATATTCCTATATTTCACAAGAACAAAACAAGTATCTTATAAATACACTTCTCGATAACTAACATTATTTTTATGATCCAACTGGAAAAATATACATGTAAATACCCAAAAGGTGAATTATCTGATCATATTTATAAACCCTATTTTTTTGAAACCACACATTTACATGCTACCTTTCATAGGTATATACACATCAGTTTGATAAATAAATTACTTTCATCTAATTCAAATTATCAAAATATATTATTATAACAATTGTTCTTAGTGTTTATGTAAGGGAGAGAGAGACAGAGTGCAAGCAGGGGAGGGGCAGAGAGAGGGGGAGACACAGAATCCGAAGCAGGCTCCAGGCTCCGAGCTGTCAGCACAGAACCCAATGCGAGGCTCAAACTTACAAACCATGAGATCATGACCTGAGCCAAAGTTGAACACTTAACTGAGCCATCCAGGTGCCCTGAAATGTATTGTTATATATACAACTGAAGATCTTTGTTTTCTCTTGCTTTAAGTATTCCCTATCCCTAGAAAATTCCTAAGGCAAATTTTCAGGATTGGAAAACAGTTCATCTTCTCCATGCATTCAAGAAATATTTAGTCAATAAATACTTATGAGCTCCTTCTAGATGCCTATCATTAAAAAACAACTATAATTTTTAAAGGTATAAATAATACACAAAAAGCTGTACAACTTGATGAGTCTGGAGGTAAGCACATACTCATGAAATCACTGCCACAGTCAATGCCATAAATATATCCAACATCTTCAAAAGTTCAAAAGTTTCGGGGCACCTGGGTGGCTTAGTCGGTTAAGCGTCCGACTTTCGCTTAGGTCATGATCTCGCGGTTCGTGGGTTCGAGCCCCGCGTCGGGCTCTGTGCTGACTGCCAGCTCAGAGCCTGGAGCCTGTTTCAGTCTGTGACTCCCTCTCTCTCTGACCCTCCCCTGCTCACGCTGTCTCTCTCTCTCTCTCTCCTGGAAATAAATAAAACATTAAAAAAAAAAAAGTTCAAAAGTTTCCTGCCCTCTTTGTTTTCTGTGATATGAACACTTAATATAAGATCTACCTCTTTGCAATTTTTTAAACATAAAATACAGTATTATCAACCATATGTACTGTGCTGTACAGTAGATCTCTAGGATTTATTCCTCTTGTGTAATTTAGAGTTTGTACTTTTGACCAAAACCTCAGTTTCCTCCTCCCAATTCCTGGTAACCACCATTCATTTTATTCCCTGCTTCTATGAGTCTCACTGTTTTGGATTCCTCATGCAAGTGAGATCATGTTCTTCTGTCTAGCTTATGTCACTTAGGATAATGTCCTGTAGGTTCATCCATGTTGTCACAAATGACAGGATTCCATCTTTTTTAAGGTTGAACAATTCCATTATATGGAAATACCACATTGTCTTCATCCACGTCTTGGCTGTTGTCAATAGTGCTGCAATGAGCCACGGGAGTGCAGGTATCTCTTCAAGATCCTGATTTCAATTTGTTTGGTTATATACCCAGAAGTAGGACTACTGGGTCATATGACTGCATGATTATTGTGTTCAGAACAGCTCTCCCAACTGACCCCCAGCATGACACCTTTCAGATACATTAGTGATGAACACGAAAAGATTCCTGCCCTCACAGAGCGTTTGCATTAGAAGAGGAAAACAATCAATAAATAATAATTTTTAAAAAATTAATTTCCTGGTAGTTTTAAAGGTGAGAAGTGTTGTGGAAAATGAAAAGAGGTAAAAGGAAAGAGGGGGGGCTTTCGCTTTGAGTGGTTACCAGGTGAGGCCTCATCAAGCAGATGCCACAGCCTTATCAGCTAATACAAGAAAGTTAATTTTACTACAACTAAGGTGAAGGCTTAAAAGCAGAGGAATGATTTTCTTTTTTTTAAAAAAGTGGCCAGGGGAGCCTGGGTGGCTCAGTCGGTTAAGTGTCTGACTCTTGGTTTGAGCTCAGGTCACGATCTCACAGTTGGTGAGTTCAAGCCCTGCACAGGGTTTTGTGCTGACAGGACAGAGCCTGCTTGGGATTCTGTCTCTCTGCCCCTCCCTATTCACGCTCTCTCTCTCTCAAAATAAATAAATAATTTTTTTTAAAAAAAAGTAGCCAATAATAGGTACTGTTAGGACTGGATGCCAAAAAAGTAGATTTCACTTAAAAAGAAAGTAGTACTATATATTTAAAAAAAAAGGTGAACAGGACTATAAAACAACTACCACAGATCTAAAATCCAAAATAACAGCTAATATACAGTTATAGCAAGTATTACTCCAGGAGCTTTATCTCTCATGACAACTTCACGTGTGACCATTTTCGAAGGTCAATAGTACCTTATCCACATTCTGAATTACATTCTGAATTTTGAACACTAGAAAAGCTTCAAGCAAGCCAAACTGGTAGTAAAATCTGATCTAAGTTCATATGAGATAGCATATAGTTCTTGATTTATCCTACTCGGCAAATATATATATGAAAAAACATTACCCTCAAAATCCAGCTAACCTTTAAATATCCTAATTAATGAAAAGTCATAGGTACATCTAAACGTATACATATAACTTTTTTTTTTAATTGCCCTATTTTATGCAGGAGCTAGTGGAGTTACATCATTCAGTTTATCACAAAAACCAGCCATACTTTTCAAAAAAGGATAAACGCAACATACAATAGGAATAAAATTCTGTTCAGCATATAACCTAGAGTAAGGTGGAAAATGTGAATCTGCTGTTAGATTCTGAATTGTTTAAAGATAGTATATTTTTCATACATGTGCCCTAGATATTGACTAATTGCTTTATCTGATGTATAACCAACCGACATGTTATTTATTACAACACTGAAGAAAAAACAGGCTGTTTGAGACCCACTAAAAGATGGTATATTAGCTTTCAACATGTTGTTTTTCTACTGGATTTTAAAGGATAATTTTAATTAGATATGAATTTGACGAACACATTGTCTTCAAAAAACCCAAGATATAACTACAGCTATGATGTCCAATATCGTAGAAATGTGGCAACAGGGCACTTGAAAAGGTACTAGTTTGTCTTTTTAAAACTTTTTTATTTTCATTTCATTTTTTAAAATTTTTATTTACTAGGATGCTTGGGTGGCTCAGTCGGTTAAGTGTCCAACTTTGGCTCAGGTCATGATCTTATGGTTTTTGAGTTCAAGGCCCACATTGGGCTCTGTGCTGACATCTCAGAGCCTAGAACCTGCTTCAGATTCTGTGCCTCCCCCTCTCTCTGCCCCTCCCCTGTCAGCAATCTGTCTCTCTCTTCCAAAAACAAATAAACATTATTTATTTATTTATTTATTTACTTCCTTCCTTATTTATATGCTTGTAGCCAGAATTACTATCAAATTCTACTCATTGAGCCAGAGAGCGTTGCGGTGTTAGCAAAAGACTTCCCCCTCCTGTAGCACACTAATACACCTATAAGTTCATTGGCCAGGCAGTGGCCGCAACTCCAAGCTCTAACAATGTGCAGGAAACGTGACTAGTTTGAATTGAGATGTGCTATAAATGAAAATATACGTTGAATTTCAAAAACTACTGTGAGAAAATGAATGTAAAATTTCTCAGAATTTTATATTAATTATGCAATGAAGTGATAATATTTTGCTGATATGAGACTAAATAAAATGTGTTATTGATTGATAATGTGCCTATAGAAAAATTTCAAATGACATGTGTAGCATACATTATACTTCTACTAAACGAATAGCACTGCTCTATAGTAAGACTGAGAAAAAGAAGGACATAAAATTTCTCAAGTCTTTATGTTCCAGAATAAATAATTTCACTTTAGATATCCAAAAAGATTAACACAACATGGATAAAGTTAGCAAGATATATTTATCAGAAATTCTAAAGCAATTTTTTTGTAACTCAAGGGTATATGATTTTAGATATTCAAGAGGTATCCAAAAATTCAAGAATAAAATAAAAGCCTCATGTATGAAATGTCTAATTTATTTTAAAATCATTTTTCAGCATTTCCACAGTAGTTAAGTATATATAAGGGTCCTATGTTGTATTTTCCTTCCCTAGAGTTAGGACAGATCTCAGTTTCACAGACTAAATATATACCATAATGATATCCAAAAACAGGCAACTTATTTTTAATAGACAGGAAAATTTCATACCTCCTAAAAAACAACTTTAGAGTTTACTTAGAGTTGGAAAAAATTAATTCCATATCACAGTAAGATCTATCATTAAGATACACTGATAAGACATTTCCCAAATATTCTTAAAAGTACTCCAAGCATATGTCATACTAAAGTTAGACATATCCATATTCCACAATTCACCAGTTCCAGTCCTGTGCATATACGCATCAGAAATGAATGCTTATTTCTACCAAAAGATACAAAATAAATTCACAGCAGCCTTTCTGGTACCCCCCAGTTGGAAAGATCTTCAAATAAACGGTGGTCTAATCGTACAATGGAATACAGACAATTTGAAAAGGGAGAGACAAATAATACATCCACAGAAGACTCTCACATACATAATGTTGATCAAAAATCTCAGACACAAACCAGTTCATATTACATGATTCCAACTGTATAAAGTTCAAAAACAGGCAAAATTGACACAAGGCCAAAAACACCAAAGATCGGTTTCTGTTGAGTAGAGGCAGTACTAAGAGAGACAGCCTTCTGGAGTAGGAGTTAGTTACGCAGGGTATGCTTATGTAAAAGAAAACAGAAATCACTGAGCTGGCAAGTTAGAGTATGTATTTCACTACATGAAATTACACCTTGATAAAATGTTTTTTTTAAGTAACTTTTTTTTTTTAAAAAAGGGCCTTAAGTATCATGAATTAGTTTCAAAACAAATTACTTAAAACTAGTTCCTATTTTGAATTTACATGAGAATTTGTCTACTTAATCCTACAACTAAGTTTATTTGCAATTTTTTAATAAAAAAATAGTAGCCAGTTTAATTTTATTTAAACATATTTTGAGATTACATGATGAACTTTCATAAATGGATAACTCATAATGACTTTAAAAGTGTAACAGTATTCTTTATAACTAATAGATATAAACTGAATGTATCTCTAAATATTTAATTGTAATAGTTAATTCTTATCTTCAATTTAAAAAGATAACTTTCCATGCTCGTGGATCAGAAGAACAAATATTGCTAAAATGTCTATACTACCCCAAGCAATCTACACTTTTAAGGCAATCCCTATCAAAATACTAATGACATTTTTCAAAGAACTACAACAAAAAAATCCTAAAATTTATATGGAACCACAAAAGACCCCGAATAGCCAAAGCAATTTTGATAAAAGAAAAGTGCAGCACCTGGTTGGCTCAGTCAGCTGGGTGTCCAACTCTTGTTTTCGGCTCAGGTCATGATCTCACAGTTCTTGAGTCCAAGCCTCGAGTAGAGCTTTGCACTGACAGCACAGAGCATGCTTGGCATTCTCTCTCCCTCTCTCACTGACCTCCCCCCCCCAGAAATTTTTTTTTTTAAAGAAAAAAGAAAAGCAAAGCTGGAGGAGGTATCACAATTTCAGACCTCAAGTTATATTACAAAGCTGTAGTAATCAAAACAGTATAGTACTGGCAAAAAATAGATACATACTTCAATGCAACAGAATAGAGAGCTCAGAAATAAACCCACAATTATATGGTCAATTAACCCTCAACAAAGGACTCAAGAATACATAATGGGAAAAAGACAGTCTCTTCAATGAATGGTGCTGGGAAAACTGGGCAGCTACATGCAAAAACAGTGAAACTGGACCACTTTCTGAGACCACATACAAAAAGACTCAAAATGGATTAAAGACCTAAGTGTGACACCTGCAACCAATAAAAATTCTAGAGGAGAATATTAGCAAAAAAGTCTCTGACACTGGCTGTAGCAGCATTTTTCTAGATACGTCTCCTGAGGCAAGAGAAATAAAAGCAAAAATAAATTATTGGGACATCAAAATAAAAGAACTTCTGCACAGTGAAGGAAACAATCAACAAAACAAAAAGAGAATCTACTGAATGGGAGAAGATATTTGCAAATAACATATCTGATAAGGAGTTAGCATCTAAAATATATAAAGAACTATATAACTCAACACCCAAAAATACAAATAATCCAGCTAAAAAATGGGCAAAAGGACATTTTCCCAAACAAGATAACCAGATGGCCAACAGACACATGAAAAGATGCTCAACACCACTCATCATGGAAATGCATATCAAAACTACAATAAGATATCACCTCACACCTGTCAGAATGGCTAAAATCAAACACACAAGAAATAGGTGTTGAGGAGGCTATGGAGAGAAAGGAATCCTCTTTCACTGTTGGTGGAATGCAAACTAAGGCAGCCAATCTTGAAAACAGCAGGGAGGTTATTTCAGATGAATACAAATAATGAATATCCAATTAATAAAGAAATGTATTCAAAGAAGTTGACTTATTCACTACAACAAATACCTTATTTTATTAAATACTTCTATTCCAAGCAAGAGAGCTGGCAAGTTTTTTAAGGAGAACACAAAACTTAGAGGAGGTTTAAAGGTGGATACTATGAAGGAAACTTTGGATAGGGCTGAAGGGGACTGTGTTCACCACTGACTTTAGACAAATCATTTTGAACATTCACATGGGGGTCGTGGGAGTGCAAAAGACAAAGACACAAAGCAGGTGAGTTTCTTCCTTCCTTCCTAGTAATATGTCATATGTCCTGAGACTGAAGCTCTGCAAGTAGATGAATTATTATGCTACAACAGTCTAGACACATGAGATAATGCAGATAGGGGACTTAGTAGATAGACACAGGCAGTCAGGTATCCATGGATCCAGATGAAAGACTGGTAGAAACATAGATAGTAGCTGACCCCTACACAGGAAGGCAGAGTTGTCACAGGCAGGGAGGACTTTAAAGCTGTCTGGTTATTTAATGTATATTTCATACTGTCTTACATTAACAAAAGAGGCTTTTATATCTCATTTTCAAATCAAAACATTCTTTATAGTAATTCTATACTGGAAAGGAAAAATGTAAATACTTCAGATGCTTAAAATAGGCAAAACTAGTTCCTTCTAAACTAAACTTCTTTTACTCACTTACACAAAATTTGGAATTACTGACACTGAAATATATGCCTCTCCTGTGTTACAAACGTCCAACAACCAGTTAATCAACATCTGAACTTAAAGAAAAATAAATAACAATACAACATTGTTATTTCTTCTGTAATTGGAAAGGTTTAACTACATTTTAAAAAATGGAACAAGAGACAAAATACAATACCTTCTGGATGTGTTTCTCCTGGCTGTTAAAATAATGGGTCCTGAGAACAGAGTTCTGAAATAGCTTCACGGTCCAACACTCCCTGAAAATTAAGAAAAATAAATATTACTTCAAGTGTATCTTATCAAAAAGAACTTCAATGGCATGTTTTACAATGGAATCTTAACTACTGGCTAAAATAAATTATCTCCAAAAATAACAAAAACTATTGTAAGATAAAAAAAATGTTTTTCATTATGCATGCTTTCCTTGGGCATAGCTGTTGACGATACCTGCTGAACAATCTGCATTATAAAATTATTTACCAAAATACACTGTCTTTATGCTACATAAAACACTATCACCTATTTTCAAGGTGAGAAGTTAATGGTGATGAAGAGCTATTCTGATCAAGAATTCTGGGAGAAAAAGTATTAGGATTATTTGGTTGTCAACACTAGAGTTTGAAACACCTTCTTTTCTTTTTCCGTAGACCACTAGGAAGGAAAAATCTTGAACTGAGAGTTAGAAGCCTTCTGGATACAGAATGACATCTACATGCGGGAAAGTTATACCTTCAGGAATAAAACACTGGGTGAAAAGTTTCTGAGCAGCAAGAGACACAGGCTACACTTTAATACTGTGGTGGCTGAGGGAGCTTCATATGGATCAACAGGCTTATCAGCAGCGCAGCCAGCTGGAGATAAGGAAGGAGTGATGCAGACTCACGGTTTCCACTATAGGAACTTTCACTTCCCAAAATAAAGTAGCTACTTTTGATTATCACTTCATTCCCGAGTGCCTGTCAGTTTCCCTAAGACCATACAAGGGTACCAAATTTCTTTTGAGCAATGCTTTCTCAACACACTGCCGAAACAGGCTCCTTGGCACTCTGCTTCCAGATCACTTTCTCTGCGTCATGCTTATTACTTTCCCTGTGACTGTGAGCCCTTCATTCATCTCTGAAACTTCCAATACCTAACACGGTGCAGGGCACAGAGCTGTGTGCAGTAAACATCTGCTCAACCTGTATCTCTTGGAGACTTAACCAATTAATATACCATGCTGAAGTAAAAATGATACCATAGAAGAAGGTAATTAAATGGGTCAACTACAATAAAGAACACTTATGTCAATGCTCTCCCACCCCTCATAATCATCCTGGTAGGGTGGCAGATCTCCTTTCTGCCCAGGTGAACTGGGACTCCAATCCTGCTGTCCGAGGTCCTG